GACTACAGTGGTTCAATTGAAGTAATGTTATGAAGCGACGAGAATCATTTTTGTGCCTGAAAAACAAAGAAAAAAATAACACTATTTTTTTTGTTTTTGGTGCACAAAAAGTATTCTCGTCGCTTCATTACATTGAACTACTGGAGTCACATGGACTACTTTAACGATGTCTTTTTTACCTTTCTGGGCCTTGAAAGTTGTTGTCTATGGAGGGGTCTGAAAGCTCTCGGATTTCATAAAAAATATTTTCATTTGTGTTCCGAAGATGAAACACATTCTGAAGATGTCTTATGGGTTTGGAACGACATGAGTAGTGTAACTCGAGATTTCACGTAGTGTAACTGCGCAAAGCTTCTAGGTTGTACGTCACACGCATCACACACATGACCAGCGTCGGCCAATAGTGAGCCTACGTGTGACGTGCAACACAGAAGCTTTGCGCAGTTTCACTACGTGAAATTTCACGGCCCACAGGAAATGAATAGTTGAATAAAGTCGTTATTTTTGTTTGATTCTGCGCACAAAAAGTATTCTCGTCGCTTGATAAACTGTAGGCACTGTAGTCACTTGGACTATTTTAACGATGTCTTTAACTTTTCTGGGCCGGCCAGTTTCAATCCCTTAAGAAGCCTATGGAGGAGTGATCCAGCTCTCAGATTTAATCAAAAATATCTTAATTTGTGTTCTGAAGATGAACAAAAGTCTTACGGGGTTAGAACAACATGAGGGTGCGTAATTACTGACAGAATTTTCATTTTGGGGTGAACTATCCCTTTAAGATGTTTTTTCCCTCATCATTTTGTTCACCAGTGTGCAACACAAAATATGGGAAGTGATTTATCCCTTTAAAAAGCTTCTTTCTTTTTTTTTGCCATTTAGCATAGTTTTCATCTCTACTGTCTGTGACCTTATCAGAACAGACCTGCGATTCATTTTTGGTTCGCAACTCGCCAAAGGACCCAGAAACCAAGTCATCATTATGTCTATAAACATCAAATACTTTTTCATCTCCAAGGAACTGCATAGAACCCTGCATAGTGAAATATGGTTCTTGATAAGAAGAGGGTTTTTGTTGCTGCAAAGACCCACTGACCCACTTTATTTTTAAGTGGTGAAGTGTGAATGGTTACACCAATTTCAAGGTGTAAAATCGGTGTAAAACTGAGCAGGAGAGGTATCAAACGTGTGGTTTAATCGCTGTTAAGTCTGTTGTGTAGGACTCTGGAGTGTGTGTTTGACACTTTAGGGGGTGTTTGACACAGCGACTGAGACTGTCGGGATCCTCTCTTGAGGATTCACTGACAGCTACATCAGAAAAGAGGAAATACGAAACAGTTTGAGCACAAAAGAATGGTGATGCTCACTGACAAGTGAGGAACTGTGACTGGAGCATACAGTGGATGATGGTTTGATCTCATGCTGATTCTTCTCACACCAGACTGTTCAATTGTGTCATTTTTATCCCTTGTGTTCTGTTCGATTTCTGTGTACACCCCTTATGGACCGGGTCAAATTGACCCTAATTGGATTCAATACAATTCCTCAAAAATCACACTATGAAAAACAACAAAGATTTAGATACAAACTGTAAACTTTTAATATCAACATTTGTCAAACATTACAAAAACATTATATCTGAAAATATGATTTATGAAAATGTTTTTAAAACATTTTTTTAAAACAGTTTTGTTTTGACAAAATTGGAAAATAAACAGTATACTGATTTTTTTTGCATATATATTTTTTTACTTTTTTTTTTTTTTTTTTTACATTTTATGCTTTGAACATCGTAACTGAACAAAAAAAAAAAATCTGTATAATGAAATTTTTTCATTTTCCTAAATTAACTTTCCCTAGTTTCCTAAGACCTATTTTCCTAGTTTCATTATTCACTCACCGGGAAGTGAGAAACCAAACATAACAAAAACATAATCAAATAAATGTTTTTTATTTATTTTTTGGCTCTGTGAAGCTGCCTTTGAAAATCCTACATAAAAGTTTTGGTTAAAAGCTGCTAGGTATTTTAGATATTTTGAATATTGAAATGAGAGCTTATTTTACTATCTGTGTCTGACAAAGATTTTCATCTGTAATTTGCAAATAATTCTGAACACTGTAATTTTAGCTTTTTCAAGTGTGTTTGGTTAGGGTTAGAGCACTTTTAGATGCACTTGCACGTTAGAACTGGAGTTGAAGTGTCCTTACATACAGAAGATAAATGTTTTTATTTTGTGTCTGTACAGTTGCTTTTGAATGGCTGTCTATGAGGGTCAAATTGACCCGCGAACATCACGAACGTAACAGTAATTTTGTTTGTATATGTCAAAACACATCAGCATGTTGAAACTTTGCATGCATGTTCATCATGATAAATGAGAAAAAGTCACAAAATATCAAGACAAAAAACAAAGGTTAACCAGTATTTCCAACAACTTGAAAATCGAAACGGGTCAAATTGACCCGCAACATAACACAAGGGTTAATGAAAACAGTTCAAGCCAACTTGCTTGTTGCCAGTATTGGGAAAATAATACATGCTTATCTGTTCTTAATCATGTGACACTATTCTGGCACGTAGTTGAACACAATCTTTATGAAACCCCTAAAGAGAAAAAGGAAAGAAAGAAAAGAATTCCTAAATTGTCCCTTGTTCAGCACATCATTATATCTGTCATATTTTCACTTTAAAGTACTTTTCAAATGACGTAAGGCGATCCTTTTGTGTAATTTCATATCTTGCTTTATCACAATATTTCATGTTCTTCCATCTGAACTGACTCCAGAACTGAAATAAAGCTGAAATAATAGAATAAAATTACATAAAATATTTGAAATGTTGCTTTGGCAACTAACTGGAAAATAAATAAGTTTGTTGAAGTACTAAAATTACATAAACTAAAACTAGAATACATATAAATGAAAGATAAATAGAAATAAAAAACAAACTAATGATATTGCTAACAATTAAAATATTAATAAAAAAAATGTAAATGAAAACTGAAATTCTAAAAATAAAATCTAATTATTAATAATAATAATAATATATAAATATATAACACTGCTCATGCAATGTTCATTCAGTAAGTCATGCATTGAAATGGTCCTTCATAATTGGCATTCGAATGCTGTTTTACGTAAGTATAATTATCTACGAAGCCATGAAAGCAGGACACAATCTTAAAAAAAAGTACACTTACAGAAGTGATCAAGAATTATTCATTCACTCTAAAGATTACTTCAAACATACCGATTTATGAACGTTGGTATGCATTGGTATTCAGAACAATTCTGTAACGGAGGCGAAATGGAACTCTCAAATATAAAGAACATAAAGAACAACTATGTGTAAAAGTTGCTTCTGGGGAAATCGCAAACTGTCTCACACTCTTTCTTCCACATTCCCTCGCAGCTTGAAGGCTTTTTTTCTCTTAAGTTTCCCCTCAGTCAGGTAAACTTTTCTCCCTCCTGCTACACAGGCCTGATCCTGTACCTCAGATGTCTACCTTAATCAGGAACCACCTGCTTACATTACCAGTGTTCAAAGGGCCTGGAGCTGGGCTTCCTACGTGCATATGTTTTTTGTAATGAGTATCTGTTTGCAGGATCTAAAGATGCAGGAGGGAATCTAGGCCAGTGCTCTCATGAATGACAATATGATTGAAAATGCCTACGTTACAGGATCCCCACTACCAAATGAAAGTCAATACTCTCTAACCTAAGATGTCATGGTTGGTGGGATTCTAGTTTTTGAGTAGTGGTTCTCTAAAATCGTTTTTTTTTCAGTAGCTGATTCTAGCAGGGTGGCTGATGGCCACACTTAAATAAGTTATCATGAAGAGTGCAATCTCGCTCTTCACAGAAACACTGTGGCAATCTCAAAATGCCTGTCTTGGCAAGATACTATAAATGTGAACAGTAGCCTATGTAAACGGAACGTTAGCTCTTTTAAATACGTTACCCTTTTCAGTGCTGCAGTATTTTCTGCTCATGTTGCTATATTTCTGTTGTTTTGAAAGTGTAAAGTTTGGTGGGCGACAGCAATTCCTTAAATTAAACATTATTCAATAAAAACGGGATGTGTACATCTTCAAGTATTATACCAAAGGTTATGTAATTTTTTAGTAAACTCAGATACCAAATTAAAGGTAAAGTTTGTGAAGTTTGAGAACTTTGCAACTATATTTTAGGTTCATGATTAATATTTGAGAAATTTAGATCACTTCATGGTTAATATATAATTTGATCACTTTAGTCTCTCTGTGTGTTTTTTCAACACATTCTCATCCCAAGGCGTCATCTAACTGACACTTTTGACCATGCGTCAACATGCCGACGCACATGGTACCCCTTAAGCGTCAATATGAGACGCTCATCCTCGGGCGTCATCTAACTGACGCTTTTGACCATGCGTCTAAATCCGACGCACATGGCACCCTTTAGCGTCAGTTAGATGACGCTTCCGTTATGGGTAGGTTTAGGTCTGGGGTAGGGTTAGGGTTAGACCACTAGGAGGCGCGTCTCACATTGACGCTTAAGGGGTACCATGTGCGTCGGCATGTTGACGCATGGTCAAAAGCGTCAGTTAGATGACGCCTTGGGATGAGAACGGGCTGGTTTTTTCCATTAAAAGTGAGATAATGCAGTCTGACTTGCAAAACAATGTCTGGATCCCACATTAAGACTCATTCTGAAGTCATTAGCCTCTGATATAATGTGTCATCTGAATCTTTTATAGTCTCAATTTTAGCGTGATGGATGTGCAACATTTAAAGTCTTTTCAACGGAGAAGCGTTTCTGTTTTAATAATAGATGTGCGGCAGACTCACCGGCCTTTGATTTTGTTAAGAAAGTCATGAAGCATGAAACTGATAACCGAGTCTGTGATGTCTGCACCTTTTCCTTTTATCGTCCTATTAATCTGTCATTCTCTGTTTTTAACATCTCTTTCATCCTTTCAAAAATTCACTACTCTCTTTTTCTCTAATCTCCTTTCTTTCCACAGTAAACATGACGAGTGCTACGTCCCCAGTCTTGCTAAAATGGGACCCCAAGAGTCTTGAGATTCGCACACTGACTGTGGAGAGGTTGTTGGAGCCACTGGTCACACAGGTAATGTCCTGTTAGATTTACAATGCTGGCCGTTTCTTATTTTCAGGTCCGGTTGATTAACCTACAAATTCTATTGAGAAACTTGGTTATTGTTGATAATGTTAGCCTTAGCTGTGCCATGTCTTTTGGGTTGTGTTAAAGCCTGTTCACACCAAGAATGATAACTATATTGGTGTCCACACCAACACACATTATAGTTCTGTTTATGATAAGCATGCTGCGGTTTTTTCGTCTGCTTTAAATGCTCGAGCTCTTTAAAGCAGGATGGATTCTGATTGGCTGTAAATGTTTTTATTATTCATCAGCTGTAAATACATAATTCTGAGATTCCTACGATATTGTTTCTCTGTGCCATTATCATTATAGTTCTAAACTGGCTTTAAACATTAGTTCCAACTGATATGGAAGTGAGTAAGTGTTAATTGTCCAAGTGGGCATGGTTTTTTGGTTGCTAATCTCAAAACATTAAGCAATTTATTGGTCTGTCACTAGATAGCTTTATAATTGTCAAAATGTCCTGATGAGCCTCATTAAACCAATATTTAGGGCTCTATCTAAGCGCATGGTCTAAAGGGTCTAAAGCGCACGGGGCAAGTGCTCTTATGGCGTGTCCGAATCCACTTTTGCTAGTTTACCGATGGGAAAAATGGTTGGCGGGTGTTCTAAAATGGGCTAAAAGGGTTGTCTTAATGAGTAATGGGTGTGTTTTGGGCGTAATGTGCAATAAACCAATCAGAGTCTCCCATTCCCTTTAAAAGCCAGTTGCGCTCTCGACATGGCGGATTCGCTATTTACATGGTGGAATTTGCAAGCGGAAAAACTGAACGCCTCTCTAGTAAGGAAACGGATCTGCTCGTGCACGAGGTTAAAGCGCACGAGCAGACCATCTACGGGACAAAGTGTACACGCGCAAAATAGCAACGCGCAACAATGTGCCTGAAGACACCTCATTTTCAGACCATGGGCACACAAATGAGGCAAATGCATTTGCTATTTAAACAAGGTGGCGCAGGACGAGAAAATTATAACTGCGCCTGGTACTGCATTGCGCCAGGTGTATGCTAGGGCCCTTAGTATTCAAAATTAACTTACTGTACATCAGTGATGATCATAATGTCATTAATGGCGTGTTTGAAGTCTTCCTTGTATTGGCTGATTGCTGGACAGTGTAGACAACTGTTCTAAGGCTTTGTCAGAGCAGTGAAGGCTGAATATAGGTTGATGATGCTGGATATTACATCGTTCAGTTTCCTGAAGTCCAGAGCTCACACCAGGAATCTCATTTTAGACTTGGTTTTTCTTTGTTTACTCGTGTCTAGGGTATATCTAGGGTTTGTTTGGCTTAAAATACTAAGCAAAGTTTGCAAATGAACAAACAAGCAAACTTCTTGGACTTTCATACCATCAGTCAAATGTTTGAACACAACTTATTTGCCTCATTTAAATAATAGTAAAGTCATTAAAAACACAACTGGAACTATGGGAATTATGCAGTGAGCAAAATGATAAACGAACCAGAGCTATCTCAAATTAGAATCTCTTCAAAGCCGCCTTGTTTTGTCATTGGATATATCATGAGAAACAAATTCAGTCAAGTTTTACTGGTAGCTTAGTCACCATGTACTAAGAAGGTCAACTTAAACAACCGCTCAAAGGTTTTGGACTAGCAATATAGCTATAGGTATAATACATTAATACTTTTATTCAATAAGGAGGCATTCAAGTGATCAAAAGTTACAGTAAGGACTTTTAAATTGTTACAGAACATTTCTGTTTCAAGTAAATGCTTTTCTTTTGAACTTTCTGTTCATCAAAAAATGGTTCTTGAGTATAAAATCAGCCAATCAAAATGATTTCTGATGACACTGAAGACTGGAGTAATGGCTGCTGAAAACTCAGCTTTGCCATCACAGGAATAAATAAAATTTACAATAATAAAAATAGAAATCAGCTATTTAAATTTTAATAATATTTCACAATATTACTGTTTTTACTGCATTTTTAATCTAATGCATTCACCCTTGGTGAGCATAAGAGGCTCAAACAAAACAAAACTATCTTACTAAATAAGTAAGCAAACAAACAGTCAAATTAATTAATAAAACTTATCAACCCCAAACTTTTGAAAGGTGGTGTACAGACTTTTTCCCTTCAAAAAAGCAGAGATTGTTAATGTCTGATGGAAAATTACATTTCCCCTTAAGTAGTATTTGCTATATTCTGAGCAATTATTTGTTTTTAAACCACTGTTTTATGGTTTTTATGTTTTTCTCAGGGAATAAGTTGCCTGAATGAAGTGTTAGATCTCATAAACCAAAATCATGTCTTCCCATAAAAACTTCCCATTAAAAGCAGACCTGGAGCATTTTTCTTTTCGCAGCTTTTATGGCTGAGTGCAGATGCCGGGCATGACCTCTCTATACATTAAATTATAGACAGCTCCCCTTTGCTTATTCTGTGAGAGAAAATGGGGGGTGGGGGAAGGCTCTAGTTCATACACACACTGTAATATTTGGGGATTTACAATCATGTCCTGTACTAAACACCTTGTGACGGTAAACTTGGATGCCAACTTGTTTGGTGTAAAATGATTTAGACCAAATAAATTCAGCCCGATCTCACGGCAATTCGTACGAATTTTACGAGGTGGCTAATTCGTACTAATTCATATGACCTCACTCATACAAATTCGTACGATTTTTGCTAATTCGTACATATTTTACGAGTTACCAAATTCGTATGAATTCGTACGAATGACCGGCTACCCCTGACTCCGCCCCTAAACCTACCCATCACGTGGGTTTAGACAAATCGTACGAATTCGTACGAGTGAGGTCGTATGACTTAGTACGAATTAGCCACCTTTTAATCACTCGTACGAATTGGTCGTGAGATAGCGTTGAATAAATTAGCATCCATAGACGTTGTAATAAAAATCCAGGTATGTCCTTTTTCTCTTCTGCATTCACTCACACATGCTTTGATCTAATGATGTACCTTGACCTCTCACAGAGATGCCATTTACCATGCACAGCTCTGAGGACAGACAGTCCAGTTGTCTGGATCTAAATGCCCCGAAGCTGAATTTTCAAAGCTAGGTTGGAAAAATGTTAGAATATGAGGCCAACAGTCTGTCTGACTATTATGTGAATTGCCTGCTTTGATGTGGAAGGGGGTGATTGCAGAAATACCATTGCCCTGGGGGTTTCTGAACATTCTGTGCTAACTCATAATCATGGTATTAATAGCCAATAATAAGAGGGATCATAAAGGAATAGTCAATTGGTAATAGGTGGAATCATGAAGGTTGACTAACAAGTGCCCTTGTGGTCTGTAAAACGCAGCAAAGTTTAAAAACACAGATTGCAGAACACAGATGTAATATATGGTTAAATGGCCAGAAAAATCCTGTTGCTGTTCACTTCAATCTATTTAAACACAGTTTGTCTAAATAGTTTGCTATTTAGGAATTAAACAGGTAAAAATACATATAAGGTGTGGTAACTCCTTTTACAGAGGGAAGCATTTTATATATACACATTGAGTACCCTTTATCCTAAAGGACTTAATTTGGATTTTGATTATTTGGGATATTTGTTTTTATTACGTTTGTGCCGTTTTAGATTTATTTTTGCTTAATGGATAATTGGCTAGTCAAGATTGTCAGGAAGTGCTGGTGTAATTGGATATCTAGGGCCTCATGAAATCCTTTTATTTTTCCAAAATTATTTTGTAACAACGTTCAAGGCTTAGTGAAGAAGGTGGAAGCGGGGAACGTTTAGCATAACTTTATTCAACTTTAAAACATTAGTATATTTGATCCAAAATTTAAGTTAAACCAAATTATTTTGGTAGGTTTATATTTTATATTTTATTAATTTATTTGACAGGGACAGTGTACATTAATTAGCATTACTGCAAATGTACCAGAGTTAGCCAAAAGGCTATTTTTCATCCATTGTCCCTGGACAGATCTTATTGTCTACCTTAAAAAGAAACAGCAGTTAAAACATTACAAGGAAAAAGGTTTTAGTGAAGACCTTTGCGATTCTGTGTGGTTCATGTTCATACACTACAAGCGTCATGTGTGCTTGAATATGTGTAGTGCACGAAACTGCGCCATTCATTCAGACAGAGACACACATAACATGCAGACTTAAATAGTATTTTTTGTAGTTTAATGTTCACTAGTCGTGATTTTGTTAAGTGTTCACCCCTACTTTTGATTTATTCAGCAAAATTTTGCCAAATTCTGTGACATTCCACGCTATACAATAAATTCAGTTTTTAAGACGAGAATACTCAATTTCATCTGCGTTTTAGACATTGTGGAAATCATAGAGCCCTAGATATCACTCAACTCACTACAATGACAAATATAGGTTGTTCAGTCATTCCTTGCAATATGTTGTACAGGAAGCATGTAATAGCTCAGAACATAAGATGCAGCCGGAGAAAAAAGAGTTTGATTTCAGATAAACAAGCGGATAAAAACATTTGCTCTCTGGGTGAGAGACTGATTGATACTGCCAATTTACAGCTTTTGTGGAATTTAGAGCTCAGCTTTCATCTCCCGACCCTTGCTATACACTCCCTTTCTTTTCCTCGTTGTTTCTCTCTCTCTCTCTCTCTCTCTCTCTCTCTCGCACACTCCTCAGCACAATATGACAACTCCCCAAAGTTGTTTGCCTAAGGCTTTCCCATTGTTCTGTCACATAATGGCATGAGCAATCATGGAAATGCTAATGGATTCTTAACATGGCGTTAATACTTTATTTGGAATTGGCATCCCAGCTAAAAATTAGGCTTCGTTTCTCCACTCACTTACTCTATTAGGATCTCAGGAGGATATCTGTAAATAAACCAGCTACTTAGTCAAGCCAAGTCACCTTCATTTATATAGCGCTTTTTACAATACAGATTGTATCAAAGCAGCTTCACAGTGATAACATGGAAATAATACAACAAAGTTTGTTTCTAGAAGAAAATTGAGTCATCGT